TGTTATTCGACGAGGTTGCGTGTCGTTCGAGATATTGGCAAATCGCTGTCGTTCATTCAATACATACGTGGATGTATATATTACAAACAGCCAGACATATTGTCGCCAGTTTCTTGTTCTTATAAATAACAAGGAATTAACATTTAGAGCTCGCGTTGACTAAACTATCGCACAACTGGTGTGCGATTGTCGATTGTTTCGCAGCCCATTCAACTGTTTAGTTTAGTTCAATCGATTAGTGTGTGCACCTTCATATAAGCTCAAAGGTATCAAAGCGCGACTAAACAGTTGTGCGATAGTTTAGTCAAAGATGTATGCATGCTTCTAATAAGATAAAATACAACTAAATGTAAAAAAACATTCATGCAAATCTTTTACAAGTGTTCTTAAATGATTATAGAATTTAAACCTTTTGCCCGCGATTGTCGCGCGGAATTAAAAAAGAAACATCATATAATAATTTATCTGTGTATTCTTCCAGACTGTTCTACATTTAAAAATCATTACATACCTACAGAAAGTATGGATATAATGAGTGAAAAAGGAGAAAAGAATGAACTCCTTAAGAAAGGAGTGGATTCAATTATGACGGCTGATACAAATGTATGGAAGAGCACGTACTGTGCTGACTCTCCATAGAGACAAGAGCAATTGACTATGAGACTATGTTCCACATTTGTGACATCACATCGAAATCCGTTAAACCGTTTGAGAGATATTAAGTAACGTAACAAACATCCATCCATCCAAAGAATCGCATTTATTGTGTTAAAACATTGTTGTACATACCCCTGGATTTAAGTGACGGTATTTCGTCTATCGGGCAACATTCAGCGTTAGTAACTAATCTATACTCATATTATAAAGAGGGAAGATTTGTATTTTTGTATGTATTCGATTCACGTAAAAACTACTGGGCCGATTTCAAAAATTCTTTCACCATTAGAAAGGTAATTTATCTATGAGTGACATAGGCTATGCTTTCTATTATTATATATATTTAGCATTATTTAAAATAACAGCTACTTAGGTATATTTTCCATAAGTTTTCGTATGTACAGGAATATTGGTGGGATTTTTTTATTAACACTATGTTTTCTCAATTATGTTTCGGTAGTGGAAACATGTAAGACAATCTCGATGTTATCTCTTGTTTATTCGGTAATATAAACTGCTATTTTCACGCGGGTGTATTTTTAGCCTCCCCACTAGCGGTCATCACGACTTCCGTAATCTTATATGATTGTTACAATAGTATCAATTGATAAAAGTTTTATATAAGCGAAAATCGAATAAACATTGATAATATTATCGATTCAATATGCATGTAGTGCACTCCTTAAACTAAACTATCGGACAACTGTTTAGTCGTTCTTTGATACCCATGAGATTATATGGAGGTTACATTACTAGATTTTATGTTGTAAAAACAGTGGTAGTGCTAGCTTTAACATCTTAGCATGAACAGGCCGACAAGACCGGTGTAATACCACGACTACACAGTAGACAGGCGTGAAATGAAAGCAATTCCATGTTTCGTCTAATGAGTGTGGTGCCTGAGGCCTAATTTAAGTCCCTTTCTCTTTACCACCCTTTTCTTATAAGTAGAGGATGGGTAAAGGAAGTATATTTGACGGTGGAGGAGATGCATAGGAGAGGGAAGTGTCCTCTTTATGTGCGTCTTCTCCTCCGTAGGATAAGGGTAGGCAACGCATCTGCAATTGCGGATGTCCGTGATCAGCAGTCGCTTCGCCATTTTGGCGGACTCAGGTGGCTGATTGCCCGTTTGCTACCTTATGTTATAAAAAAAACTTTAATTGTCTGCGAAACAATCGACAATCGCACAACAGTTGTGTGACAGTTTAATCAAAGGTGTGCCCGCTCTAACAACTTTCCTTACCGTTTAATACCACAGAGAAAGTCAATTTATGGTAGCCTAACCCTCTACCCAAACACATATAGTCTATAGTTTACGAGTGTACAGTCTACAGGTGACGTAAATTGGATAACAGACTTCAAACAACAGAATAATTTTCGTATTCCATAATTTAATTTGTGTTTAACTCGAAATTAATTATTAGAAACCACTTATTCCAAAGTTTAAGAAACCAAAACAAAAGTCGATCAGTTGTTTAAATATTTACTCCGAATCAGCGTCATTCAATTGTTTTGACTATTGTTTGTGAAATAATAAAAGCATGGGCTATCTCTACATTATCAAAGAGAACGAAAGGGACGGGAAGACGGGGAAGTTTAGATGGATGGATTGATGTTTGTTAGAGTTTGTAGCCTAAACTGCTGAACTCTCGATGAAATTTGACATAGACGTAGAGGATAGTTTGGAAGAACATATACTCTCTTCTGTTTTTGTTTTTTAATTCCACGCGGACTTAGTCGCGGCGAAAGCTGGTTTTTGTCATTTTTACAATGCTTGTTTTTGCATCTAAATGTTATGATTTAGTTCTAATTGCATAATTAATTACAAAAATCTATATCTATACTAATGTTATAAAGAGGAAAGATTTGTATTGTATGTTGAAATAACTCAAAAACTACTGGACCGAATTTAAAAATTCTTTCACCGTTAGAAATGTAATTTATCTGTTAGTAACATAGGCTATATTTATTAATTTCACGCGGGCGAAGTAAGCAACAGCTAGTTAAGAATAAATACTGAAAACAGTATAAAGCTACATGGTCAGTACTAAATAGTAACTGGACAGACGAACTGTTCAATTCTAACTGACATAACTGAGACATTATGTCGCATTCATCTTATCAGGATCATTACATCTTTATATCTAAGATTATAATTCTAAGAGCTACGTTAATTTCAACTTGGCATTGTGTTCTGTTTACTGCAACGTAACTATTCTGATTGTGTTAATACCTTTTTAAATTACACTCTCAGAGTACGACGAATGTGGTGGAAATTAGTTATATCTGTTTTTCCTCTGTGTTCTTTTACAAAATGTTTGAATTAAGACGTTATCTTACTAATATTATAAATGCGAAAGTGTAGATGGATGGATGTTTGTTAGAGTTTGTAGCCTAAACGGAACGGATCTCGATGAAATTTGACATAGATGTAGAGGATAGTCTGGCAGAATGCATAGGCTACTTTTGTTTTTTTTTTTAATTTCACTCGGAAGT